CTGATATTTGTAATCGATCTTCTTTCTTAGGTCCTCGTACGACTTCGTGACCCCGAGATAAAGTGTTTTCCTTCCTTGTATAAACATTGAATATAAATGAACAAATGTGCTTATAAGCACTTGGAACTCTTCTTGAACTCATTTTATTTGAAGTTCTTGATTTCTTCGTGAAAACCTTAAGTGAGCTTGCTCCTTAGTGTGCTTCCCAAATTTTTGATTGGGGTCGTATTTACTTTCAATTTCTATTTAGTACAAGTTTAGGCGAAACACCCGCGTTTTTAAAGTTACTCCCTTCATTAAAACCGAATCTAGGAGTATGTTTAGGACCCATAATGTAACCTCTTCAACCTAGTGGCTAACCTCAAAAACAAAATAAAAACATTCCAAAACTGCATCTCAAAAATTGAAAAGAAAACAACAACCAATTTCAGAGGGTAAGATTCAAGTGTTGAAAAATTAAATATCTATTTTTATTTTTATTTTGAAAATTATCTCTCTCTTTTTTTCCCTTTCTTAGGGCTTCTTGCATAATCGGAAGTTCCCAAAAAATTTCACCCCCGTCCCTTCCGCACGTGTCAAAACCTTTTTCTTTTTATTTTCCCTAAAATTACCCATATAAAATTGATGTGTTCCTGTCAATTTTTATAAACCTATCCATCACACAATCTCTGTGTCTGTTACTCAGCAACCCTCATCCTGACACAAAACAAAGAAAAGAGAAACTCCGCTCATTTTTTCTTTTACATTGTTCTCATTCACTCTCATTGGGCAATTTTTAGAACATAATCCACTCAAGATTATAGAAAGAGAAAGAAACTCAGTCTTGGAGCCCCTACCTCTAGCAAGAATCACTGTGGACATGGGTTCATCTGCTGAACGTAATGGCATTTGCCATTAACATGCTTGCCAAAAATTGCACTTTGGACATTTATCTCCCAAAGATGCAAAAGAAAAATCAAAGACAGAGAAAGATGTAACGATGCACGAGAAAATGAGAGCGAGAGAGATGGAGCTCTAGTGATGCAAGAGAAAACCAGAGAGACAGAGATTGAGATTGGGAGACCAATACTAGTGTTACAATAAACATGTAGCTCCCAATGATGCAAAAGATAAATGAGAGAGAGAGAGAGAACTGTTTGATAGGCCAATATTGATGTTTCAAGGTTCAAACTTCTAACATTTTAAATAGAAAGTGAGCTCAATGTTCCAGAGGGCCAGATTCCAACCGCGCACAAAATCCTAAATTCGTCAAAGATTAAAAAATAAAAAACCAGAGACCCAATTTCGCCTAAAGCACGTGAAAGCCAAGGACCCAAGTTTGCATAAAGCCCCAACTTCCTCCATTAGAAATTCCTCACCAAGGACCCCTAATTTCCTTCAATACCCATCAACAAGACCCTTATCCATTCAATCAAGAAACAAACCACAGAAAAATACACATAAACCTTCAGTTTTGGGAGCCTTTTAACGGTGTCTTTTCCACTAAATCTATGGGCTCTACTTTTGAGGGTGAGGACTTTTGAACTTTCCCTTAACATGTCTCAAGCCCGAATAAAAGGGCTAGATTGTGGTAGGTAGGCAGCTAACGTAAAACCTTGCCAAAACATTCATGAATCCTGAATATATGTGATATGTTTATGTTAGGGCATTTCTTGTAAGCAAAGCATTATATTAAAACATGGGTAGAGTAAGAAATGAGCAAGGGATGGCAAGGGTGTTTCCCAGAAGCGACGTGCCACGACATTGTCAGGTTATGGTGAAAAAAATGCAGGGGTTCCCTCCACATTCTAGACGAGCAAGGGTAAATAAGCCAGTCTAAAAAAATATGATTCATTTAACCACATAGAATATAGGAAAGCTTACAAATAAGAGTATGGAGCTAGTGAATACGATGAGACGAAGCAAAGTAAACATAGCTTGTTTACAAGAAACTAGGTGGAAAGGGAAAAAAGCTAAAGAAATAGATGAGTATAGACTTTGATATATAAAAAATATAATAATAAAAATAACAAGTATAATAGTAAGCTAAGATTTAAAAGATAAAGTAGTTCATGTCAAGATAATAGATAACAAGCTCCTATTAATTAAACTTATTTTAGAAGAAAAGATAATTAATGTAATTAGTGCTTATGCACTACAAGTAGGACAAGGGATAGAGTTCAAAGATACTTCCAGGATGACATGAATGGACTTAGTCCAAAACATTCCGAACGGAGAGAGGACATTATTAGGAGGTGGCTTAAGTAGTCATGTAGGGAAAGATATGAGAGGATATGAAAGCGTGCATGTGGAATAGGTTTGGTGAAAGATATGAGATAGATGAGATTATTCTAAATTTTGCTATGATCTTCAACCTAGCAATAGCAAACAATTACTTTAAAAAACGATATGAATATTTAATAACCTTTGAAAGTGGATCATATTAAAGCCAAATAGTCTTCTTTCTAGTTAAAAAGGTAAACCGACTATAATGTAAAGACTGTAAAGTTATCTCAGGAGAGAGTTTGAGTACACAATATAGGCTTGTGGTTATGGACGTATGCATAACGAGATGCAAGAGAATGGGTGAAATTAATATGTGCCTAAGAACATGCGATGGAATTTTAAAAATCATAAAGTAGAGTTATTTAAAAACAAATTAGTTAAAGAAGAAAAATAGAACTCTGAACATGAGGTCAACACTATGTGAAATGAGATGGCTGACTGTAATAAGAAAATGACAAAAGAAACTTTAGTAGAAACTAGATGGAAAAGAAATTCTAATAAGGAAATTGATGGTGGAGTGATGATGTTCAAAAGGCCATTAGCAAAAAAAAGATCACATTATAAAACTTAGCAATGAAATAGAAATGATCAAAACTTAGAAGAATATAAAAATACTAAAAAAGAGTATTAAACAAATAGTAAGGATAAACTTTAAAGCATGCGATAATCTATAAAGTAATCTGAAAACAAGAAAATGTGAAAAAAATGTTTTCAAATTAGCAAAAATAAGAGAGAAAAAAAGATACCGATCTAAACCATATTAAATGCATTAAAAGTGAAGAGCAAAAGGTCTTGGTGAATGATGAAGACGTCAAAGAAAGGTGAAGAACGTATTTAAAAAAATTATTGAATGACGAATATAATAGAAACACATGAGAGATTGACATTTAATAGCTGATCAAGCTATTCAACAAGGTGTTGAGAACAGAGGAACAGAGGGAAACTATTATAGTTTCTATTTACAAGAATAAATAAAGCATACAAAATTGTGCATACTATCTAGGGATCAAAATTATGAGCCACATTATGAACTTGTGGGAGAGAGTGATCGAGCAACGACTAAGGCACGAAACAAGTGTATCAAAAAATTAATTCGGTTTTATGCCAAGGAGGTCAACAATTAACACTAGTTTGCTATTTAAGCATTTGATTGATAAGTCTACGGCAAAGGAAAAATATATCCACATGGTCCTTATTGATCTAGATAAAGCTTATGACAAAGTACCTTGAGATTTAATTAGGTGGGCGTTCGAAAAGAAAAGAGTCTCCTGATACTATTTCAACTTGGTGAGAGACGTACAAGAGAACGCTAACTAGTATGTGCACAACTAGTGAAAAGAGGAGTGAATTTTCAATAACAATAGGTCTACAATCAACATTGACCCCATACCTCGTTGTATTATTTATTAACGATTTAACTAGGCACCTACAAGATGATGTACCGTGGCGTAGATTGCTCGCAGATGACATGGTTTTGATTGACGAGACTCAAAGCAACGTCAATACAAAATTAAAATTTTGGAACGATGCTTTAAAATCTAAAAGTTTTGAAACTATCCAGACTAAGACAAAGTAAATGGAATGCAAGTTTAGTAATAATAGGAGTAGAGACGAAGTAGTTATGATTGACGCTCAAGAAATACAAAAAAGATTGCACTTTTGATATCTTGAGTCGATAATCCAAAAAAATTCAGATATTTGAAAAAATTAAAGCTGGATGGGCAAAGTGAAATGTGCAACTGAAATTTTATGTGATCGCCGCACACCGATGAAGCTGAAACGATAGTTCTATAGACCAGCTATGAAACCAACGTTGCTTTTATGAGCCGGAATGGTAAGCGAACAAAAAACAACATACCATGGGATGTGTAGTAGAGATGAAGATGTTGAGATAAATGATCGGCAAGATAAGAAGGGATAAAATTTGAAATTAATACTTTCTCGAGAACTTTGGTATGACTCAAATAGGCAATAAGATGAAAGGAAGTAGATGTAAGTGGGCTAACAATGTGCAACACAAACCCAATACATAACCTATTAAGAAGTTCAAGTTAGTTCAAGTAGTAAGCTCAAAAAAGGCGGGAGGTAGACTCAAAATGACATGGTTAGAAGTAGTGAAAAACGATATAAGAACTCATTAACCTCACTGAATGTAAGAGCATAATAGCAAACTAAGATTAACCGACCCCAAATAGTTGGAATAAAGCTTTGTGATGATGATTATATTGGCTCAATTTCTCTTTTGTTTCTTTTTTATTCTTTTGGAGTCTTCTTACCAATATTACAAACAAGCCTCTTAACTTGATTTTCTGCAACAAAATCTCCACCAAAAAAGAAAACTATGGGTTGGAAGGGGGGACAACGACCGGTACTTTGAGAGAGCAAAAGACGTAGACTTGAAAAACAGAAAACGACATGTTAGTATTCATAAATGTAATTTTAAGAAAAACAAAAAAGGGATTGGGCATTTAAGAAGGGGGTGGAGTGAAATATTTTGGAAGATTCTATTGCCCCTAGGGAAAAAAAAAAAAAGGCGGTTGAAAGGTAAAATATTCATTACTGGGGGGGGTTAAAAGTTAAAATTCCCCATTGTGGAAAACTGTTTGGTGACTCTTAGATTGATCCTTAAGATTGAAAAAAATGCTCCTGCATAGGTCTTTCACCCGAGGGAGTAATCACACAGTATATTCCAACGGGTGCAGAGTATGTGTCGGCTTCAATTATAGTCTTAACTCTAAAATAACCAACACTTTCCGGTAGATATCATTATATATTATTTGATTCCTCATAAGCCAATGTTTCCTATCATTTGAAAGCAAATGAACACGTACAAAATTCACGGCTATGAACCAAAAACAAACTTACTGCATTCTTTTGTGGGCACTAAATGAGATCAGCTCAAATTTATCATCACCCTGATCTTTGGAGCAATGTACAAGAACTTCGAACTTGAATGGGCTGTTCTTCCCCTGCCTGAGCAACATTTTGAGTAAAATCAACCATATTCTGTAAAGGTTTGAGCCGTTGCAACTTGCAGAGCCTTGAGTTGAATTCTTTGCAAGATGAGGGTTGCATATACTCATGGGCTTCTGGTATTGATCAAAACTTAAAGAAACCTTCTCTGCAGAAATGTTGCAAAATAATAGTTCTGCAGCCATGTTCTTCACAAGAATGGGTATATATGTTGATTGGTCCCACACATATAGCTGCATTGTTCATATGAAATATTAAATATCTAATAATGTCGTAAGGTCTATCGATTTTCACTAGAAAATCACTAATTTGTAAGACCCAAATACACCTCTCTTATAAAAATAAGCTGTTATCTTCATTCTTAATGTAAGAATAGCCTCAAGTCACCGATTCAACACACACACCCACGCACACAAACTGAAGATCATATGCTCATCAAGGAGCAAATGTACATTTGCTACCCTGGGCAAAAACCTAGGTAGGAGTATTTTTTGGGGCCACAAATATTGTGGTTGTGACCTATTCAACCTACGAACCACCCTTTAAAAGAAAAAAGTTGAATAGAGACGTTGAATCAGCCTAAAAAGAATCAAGCCCAAGGATTTCATACAAGCCCTCCAATTTTCAGAACATAGATCTAGGTATTTAGGTACTTAAATCCATTTTTACTTTTTTGAAAACATTCATCTTGTGATTTTTTTCCTCCACCAAAGAATGGTATTTGTGCTAATACAAAAAGATGCTAAACTCACTAATTTGAACCATTTTATTGAGGTCAGCGAGTAAATGTACTAGTGTAAAGACAGAAAGTAGATGAAAAGCAAAGAAAATTATAGTTGTCTGGAAGCTAGCTCTCTTATTAAAGAGATGCTTCTAAGGTTAGAGAGCTAAAGAGTCTTTCTATTTCAAATGATTGATATCTCTTCATTTTCAGTGTTTTTTTTTATTTATAATGTTAACCTTTAATTAAGAAAAGAGTGTACAAAAGCCTTGACGAACCACCAAAAATGAGCTCAAGGAGAGAAGAAAGGAGAGAAAGTGGGATCGAGGCTCCTTCGAGAAGTTAGTGTTAAGGGACAGCAACCTAAGAAAAGAAGCCGAACCACCATACAAAAAGAGTAGAAAAAGAAAAAAAACAAAAAGAGGGAAAGCCTTCTAGTTTCCAGTCATCTCCGCTGCTTCTTTTGCAAGGGTATCAGCTTCCTGGTTTCCTTCCCTCCAAATATGTGTCCACACGACAAACGTATTCTTGCAGAGGTAAAGAATCTGATCAACTGTATGAGCCAAAAACCAGGGGGGGAGGTTGTAGGATTGTGAGCCCAGGTGTTCCTGGAGTCACCCGCTACGATGAGAGAGGGCAAGTTGAAATGTTGGATGAGTTGTAAGCCTTCTAAAAGGGCTATCACCTCAGCCTACATCGAGTCTTTATGGCCAATGTGTTCGGAAACTGAAGCCACAGTAGAGCCGAGGTGGTCTCTAAGGATGGCTCCAATTCCTGACGGCCCTAGGTTGCCGAGGGAACATCCGTCGATGTTGAGTTTAAGCATCCCCTGGGGAGCTGGCTTCCAAAGAGAAGACCTGGAAGGGCGAGAGCAGTGATGTCGAAGGACATTACTCCAACATTGGTGAAAGGCCGAGGTCGGGATGCCTTTGAATCGAGGGTGATTTGTGGCCTAGAAGATGATGGTAGATTTGAGCTTGTTGAAGATTTTGGACCAAGGGGAGTACTCCCCCTGAAAATCCTGTGGTTACGCTCAATTCATAAGGCCCACATGGATGCAGCCACCGCTGATTTCCAGAGGATAATCCTTTAATTGGGACAAGGAAAAGGCTTGATGGAGGAGAGAATCAAAGTCACTTCTGCAGGCAGTACCCATTCGACGTTGAACAACATGAGGACTGCCACCCAAAGATTGAAGGCGTAGGGACAGTGTAAAAAGAGGTGATTATCAGTCTCCTCCTCGGCTAGACACAAGACACAACGATTGGGAAGTGGGATGCCACGTCTTTGGAGCTGATCAACAGTCAGTACTCCCTTGAAGAGGGCCAACCACAAAAAAATCTTAATATATTTGGGGGAGCTAAGAAATCCCAGGCCTGGGCCGCAATAGATGTGGGTGCTAGGGGAAATGTGGGAGGTAGCGACAGGCTACGATAAAAGGAGGACACCGTGAAGGAGCCACTACTAGGAGTCATCCAGATGAAGCGATCGTTGACCGCAAGAGCTAAGAAGCAGGCTTGTAGTTCTACCGATAGAGAGGCGAAACTTGAAAGCTCTAGGTCATTGAGAGTTCTCCTAAAGACTAGGTTCCAAGTGCGAGGGATCCCAGTCAACAGCATTTCTTGGGCTGTTGTTGTCCCTTGATCTCTAGCAAGATGGTAGAGATCAAGATGTTTGTCTCTAAGAGGGGTGTGACCCAGACATAGATCAACCAAAAGAGGATTCGGTTCCCTGATCTAGGATGAAATCTAATTCAAGGTATCACACCCCAAATTTACTAACATTCTTGCGGTGAGACATACTATTCTTATATATATATATATATAACAATATTCAGAATTTCTACTTATGTATTGCACCAAAACGAATTTTTCCATTTCTAAAAATTTGTACAAGTTCTACTCACAACCAATATTAACAGGAAGGTTCATTCAGAAGTTTCCCAACTGTACAAAGTACACTTTTAACTTGTGTTAGCATGAAGGTTCATACATTTACAATTTTGATAGAACAAAAATTACAAAAATATTTGATCTTGAGTACAATTTCTTCGAAGCTACTCCTGTTGTACAACGCATGATAAGGCTGTCATTACTCTGAAAAGAATTCACAACAGTTTGATGAGCTTGACTACTCAGTAAGTGGCCATCATTATCCCAAATTCATAATTGGAAAATGTAATAGTTTTTAAAAGACTTCATATTAAAACAATACGAAGAGGAACATAGATGAAGAACAGTTTTAAGTTCAGAAACACACAATTTAATATAATCCCAAGCATTGAGCTGCATACAAATACTTTGACAAAAATGCATAATACAAGAGATTTCACAAAATACCCTACTGGCGTCCCAAGTAGGTAACCTATATATCCCACTAGCGTCCTGGATGGGTCCACTTCATCCCTGCAGGTCCAATCATACCTCACCAGCGTACCGGATGAATCCACTTAATCCCTACCGACGTACTGGATAGGTTCACTTAATACCTGCAGGTCCAATCATACCTCACCGGCGTACCGGATGAGTCCACTTTATCCCTACTGGCGTACCAGGTAGGTCTACTTATACGTAAATTATCTCTGGAACTCTTTAAACATCATAAAGCAACAATATCGTATATTTAAAACATCATTGAAATCCTTAACGTGAATTCAAATGAATCATTTCATAATAATCACTTTCATTGAAATATCTACAAGTCGCCAGTCAAACATTTTGGGTAATAATTTCAGAAAGGTAGTAGTTTGAAAAGACATTCTTGAAATGAAACATGATAGACAGTCTAATATCAATAGAAAAACTCTTATGAGAACTCAAAATTAAATACGGAATTCTCATAATTTATGGGAATGCAAATACGCAAATAATCATTTCACATGAATAGATAGTGTTCAGACGGACAAAATACAATTAAATACAGAAATACGTGAATCTTACAGTAGTGGCAATACTACAATCGAGATACATATCTCATGATTAGAGTGAGGTGTCTCATGGTGGCTATTATTCAAATAAAAAAAAATGACACATGGATGCCATGTGTCAAGTGTATATTGAGTCCAACCCTTATAAATACCCCATTGGCCCCTTAAAAAAAGCATCAATTGGTCCTCTCTCTCCTCTCCAATAGGAGCTCCTCTCTCTCTCTACATAAGTTCCTTCTCTCTCTCACTCATTTCAATTTCAATTATTCCTTTCCCTCCCTCATCATGCTCTCATAATAGTGCAATTTTAATAAGTGGTTATTATCATCTCATCATGCTCTCATAATAGTGTAATTTTAATAAGTTATTATCATCTCATCATGCTCTCATAATAGTGTAATTTTAATCAGTTTTTATTATCATCTCATCATGCTCTTGTAATTTTCATTCTCATCTCTCCCTCATCATCTCTCATTATAATCATCATGAGCATAATTTTAATAGTTTTCAATTATTCTCTCTCTCCCTCATCATACTCTCATCATGAGCATAATTTTAATAGTTTTCATTATTGTCTCTCCCTCATCAAATCTCTCTCATAATGATAGTAATGATGTTCTCATTATTATAAAATATTACCTTCTTAGAATAGTAGTCTTAATTTCATGACATTCTCATACATTATAGTATAATGATTTCATTCCCATATATCATTGTATTCATATCGTGAATATATTAAATTATAATATTTCACTCTCATACATGATATTATTCTCATATCATCCCCATATAGTATATCATTGTCAATCCCAGAGTATTTCTATAATAGTATTTTCATTCCCATATCATTCTCATATATTATATTATTATGATAGTTTGTTCATTTTCATGACATTCTCACGCATCATCTCTCATAATTTGAATAATATACTCACGAAGTACTATTTTCTCATAACGATAGTATTATTTTAATGATTCTGTAATATTTCCTCTTCCTTATGAATATATTCTCTCTCCATAAAAAGAAAACTCATTTGACCCTTGTCCCACACCTTTAATTGAACACCAGTAATCTCGATCAAACTCTGATAGCAGTAGCCATATACCCAACTCGTGACCTATAAATATAAGTGACCTCATTCTCCTGAAAATTAGTTCGCTTTTAATAAAATTATGATATTCTGTACATCACTTTTATAAGTGTTATGCGTAAATGATTTCATTTTCTTGTAAAGTAGAACTAGTAATTCCTCTTTTAGTAAAATTGTGAGATTTCCTTTTATTGTTTTGAATATTTAGACACTGTAAAATTCATGTGCAAATGACTTCATTCTCCTATAAAATCATTATTCGAAAAACTGATATTTCTGCACTTGATTGTAGTATTGTCACTACTGTAAGATTCACACATTTCAGTATTTAATTGTATTTTGTTTGTTTGAACGCTATTTATTCCTGTGAAATGATTACGTATTTGCATTCCCATAAATTGTGATGATTCCGTATTTAATTTTGAGTTCTCATAAGAGTTCTTCTATTGATACTAGACTGTCTATCATATTACATTTCAAGAATGTCTTTTCGAACTGCTACCTTTCTGAAATTATTGCCCAAAATGGTTGACTGACTACTTATAGATATTTCAATAAAAGTGATTATAATTAATTTGTTCAAGTGAATTCACGTTAAGGATTTTCATGACATTTTAAATATATAATATTGCTGCTTTCTGATATTTAAAGAGTTCCAGAGATAATTTAAGTATAAGTAAACCTACCTGGTATGCCGGTAGGGATTAAGTGGACTCATCAAGTACGCTCGTGAGGTATGATTGGACCTGCAAGGATTAAGTTGAGCTATCCGGTACGCAGGTAGGGATTAAGTGGACTCATCCCGTATGCCGGTGAGGTATGATTGGACCTATAGGGATTAAGTGAACCTATCTAGTACGCCGATAGGGATTAAGTGGACTCATCCAATATGCCGATGAAGTATGATTGGACCTGCAGGGATTAAGAAGACCCATATAGGACGCTAGTGGGATATATAGGTGACCTACTTGGGACGCCAGTAGGGTATTTTGTGAAATCTCCTTAATTATGCATTTCTGTCAAAGTGTTTATATGTAGCTCAATCCTTGGAATAATATTAAATTGTATGTTTCTGAACTTAAAACTGTTCTTCATGTATGTTCCTCTTCGTATTGTTTTAATATGAATTCTTTTAAAAACTATTGCATTTTCCAATTAGGATGAAGACAATCACTTACTGAGTAGTCAAGCTCATCAAACTGTTGTGAATTCTTTTCAGAGTAATGGCAGCCTTATCATGCGTTGTATAGCAAGAGTAACTTGAGAGAAATTGTACTCGGGATCAAATATTTTTGTAACTTTTGTTCTATCAAAATTGTAAATGTATGAACCTTCATGTTAACATAAGTTGCAAATGTACTTCATACAGTTGGGAAACTTCTGAATTGACCTTCCTGTTAATATTAGTTGTGAGTACAACTTGTAAAAAATTTTAGAAATGGAAAAATCCGTTTTGGTGCAATACATAAGTAGAAATTCTGAATATTGTTCTATATATATATAGTATAAGAATAACCTGTCGCACCTCAAGAATGTTAGTAATCTTGGGGTGTGACATAAGGTTTAAAGAACTGAAAAGCAGAGAAGATAAACCTCCAAATACCTGAAGACCCATAGTTGGTTCTGAATTCAAGGAGCCAAGGAGAGTCATGTAGGCGATATTTGGTTTTGAGAACGTCAATCCATAGGTGGTTGCTTAGAGTCACCAGCCGCCAACACCATTTGCCAAGGAGAGCTAACACCATTTGCCAAGGAGGGCTAAATTCTGGGTTCTCAATTTTTTGATCCCGAGACCTCCCCATTTCTTAGGTTGGCAAAGTTTATCCCAAGCTATCGAGTGGAATTTATTGTCAGAGTCTTCTCCTGACCAAAAGAACCTCCTCATCAATTGATCAATCCTAGTTCTTCATTTTCAGTGTTCCAACACTATATCCTCTGTATATCCTTAGAACTAGATCTCAACTAGTAATTTTAGTACTTAGTGCAAAAACAATCTGAACTTAGTCAAAGGCAACAACAGAAAAGAGAAATCACGAGATAAATAGCCAACTTAATGGGCCTTAAGATGATAAAACATCAAATTTGACATTTTGTAAGGAGCGTAAGGGCAAAACTGCATTTATGCATCAAGCTACAATAAAGAACAAAGGGATACAAAGGGATAATACAGGAGGAGCTCCTGCAATTCAAACATACTCCTCCCATTCAAACATACTAAGCATTGCAGCAGCCCATCAGATCTCCTGCACAGAAGAAAGAAAGCACCTTCTAAATAAACTGAAAAATTCACCTCAATCTATTCTATTTTTTGGTTAGGTACCTCTCTCTCTCTCTCTCTCTCTCTCTCTCTCTCTCTCTCTCCCACAGCTTGGTCTTAAATACTTAAATCCACTTAAATCAGCTACAAACTTGTAATCAAGACTAAGAAAAACCCAATTCATTGCATCACCATCCGGCAATCTGGAACAAGCTTCTTAGTGGCTCTGGCATGACTGTATTCATGCATACATTGTGGTCGAATTAGACAAGTGGAACTACTGGAGTGCTGCCACCTTGGCAGGAAGAACCCACAGTTGCTCTACCACTAGTGAGTTGTGACCTAGCAAGGACTCCTTCACTGTCCTCAATGGCTTCATCATGTGCAGGAATTTCCCTCCCTCTACCCAAAAAGTCCATAGGTGGACACATGCACCCTAATTTATCTCTCAGTACCATCGTCACCTTAAGCCTCCATATTACTCTAGTGTCTATCATTACATTCTCTGTTTCTGATTTACAAAGTTACTACTCAGGAAAATTGATCCGAGCAATCCTCTCCCCAAGCCCTAGGAAAAAGCACCAATTTTACATACCATTTTTTCCTTGATTTGCATGGTTCAAGAAACAAAACCTCAGAACCCTGCTATACCAACTTTCACCAAGCTTTGACCTGCTGTATGAAGAATGTTTTTTGTTGTCCATCCCTACTTCCTCTGCACCCAGGAGACCCTTCTCATTCAAGCACAACCCTCTCAATCATCATGGCGAGGATGTAGCCAAACCAAAAACGGGCAGTGGAGGACAAGGCCAAGGGCAGCTCACACCAATAGTGTCTTGGAGCAGCCTCGAAGAGAGCCTTTCCTGTCAAGTCCTTGGCAAAAAGCTCAAGACATCAGTTCTATCCTTATTTCACCCTCCTCACAAAAAAGATGTTTAGCACCAGGTAGCTTCCATGTCTCTCACTTTTATACAACATGCCGGGATCAGAGAACTGCATGGAGCCAACTGGCATGGGGTGGGAATCTGTAAGCATCTGGGACTTCCAATCTAATACCTAAAGCTACTAGAGTAAGTTTTACTGTTGCTTTAGGAAACTAATGCATTGAGCATGGCCCCCACCGAAACAAATGACAATTGGTTCAACGAATAGAAATACATCTCTATTTGATCATGGTAAGTAGTTAGTGAACCCAACCGCATTGGGATGGCAACAAACTAATTCACAAAACCTTTCCATTCATTTGTTCTCTGCCCTCTAGGATGATGCATTCTGAACCTCAGATTAGCTTCAAGTTACGGGCTGAGCAAAGTGACCAAAAATAAAATAGAATGAGATGTTTCAGTAGAACTGCACTAAAATGAGGCATGTTTTGATCTTTCCTTCTCTCAAAAATTACCTTGCCCTTGATATCAGAGAAAGCGAAACACAATAACATAAACTGGTGAGATATTAAATTGGAAAAGTATACAAGGAGACCATTTACTTTTTGGTACAAGGAGGTCACAATCACTTTTATCCCTCGGATTTCAAATCGAGTAGTTGTAAGAGTCATTGACTAGACTCAAAGTCCAAAAAAGAAAATTTCAAACTTTGTGACAAACCCCAAGCCATTCAATTTGACATCTCATGACTAGAAAGCAATTGGGATCTCCTTGTAATCAGGATAAATGGTCTCATAGTATATAATCCCTATTAACTTTCGTAAAGAAAGTAATATAGTTATTTTCATATCAAAAGGGAGGGTATTTTGAGAAAAACATTCAAAGAGTCCACCACTAAGGGTGGCAATGGTTTGGATCCGGGTCTACCCAAATAGTATTCGGGTCCAGGTTTTGGATCCAAAATTTGGGCCCATATCGGGACCCGAGGTCAAGTCTACCTGTCTGGTCCCGAGTCTGATCGGGTCCATTGCCACCCTATGACGATGAGCTTCTTTTTTTCTTTTTTCATTTGCCCTTTAGTTACCATCATACACCCACATATTATTAGCAACATTTACAGTATTACACAACATTTATGAATACCACATTCCTTACTGTTTTATGTAATAACTGAAAATTTCAAAGAAACAAACATATTGGCAACATTATGAATACCCATAAAATTCGGGTCGGGTCCAGGTTTTGGACCCGAACCCGACCTTTCGAGTCCAAATTTTGGACCCATACCTGGACCCAAGGTTGGGTCTACTCGTCAGGTCCCGGGTCTGGTCGGGTCCATTGCCACCGCTCTCCACCACAACTCCAAAGTGCATATTCGCCCAATTCCTTTTTCCAAAGTAGCAGAACTACCTTAACTTTGAATAGTAACAACACAGTTTCTTTTAAAAAGACGAAGTATAATCTATCATTCTGCACCTGTATACTAGTGAAGAGAAAGTAGAAATAGCTTTTGAGAGCAAGAGGATGATTCTTTATTGTTTTCTGAGAATGGAGAGCAAATCAAAATGTTGTATCGAACTGAAGAGTGAATGCAATAAATAATATCAAAGAAGATTCAAAAGTGTTCCTCACCAGAAATGGTGTATATATTTGGCCTACAGTATGAAGATGGTTGGAGCTCTTCTCGCAGTAGAGTTGAGCTGGATCATGCTCTGCTAAAGAACTGTTGCCAGTGCTCAATGAATTTCAAAGAAGATGCTCTAGTTGATTGTGCAAATTGGATAAAAGCAACAAAAATGAAACCCAACATCTACACTACCTCAATTTCATGGGAGAACCACAATACTTGCAACCACTGCAGATGAGGTCATCTCCAATCTTGTCATCTGCCATTACAAAGAGTCTCTTGCCAATGAACAGCTTCTCCCGTCTAAATTCTGAAGCAGGCTTTGAATTGCAAGGCAGGAAGATTTCACCAATGTTCCCATAGAAGCTCACACTGCAGGATTCTCTTAGAAAAGAAACTTCTGAAATTGACAAGCACTCCCTTGATTTGCTTTTCGCACTCAACTTCCAGTTCTTCAGTTGTCTCCCATTGGAAACACCAACCTCCATAACCTGCAGGGCATTAGGCAATTATGCTCACTTTAAACTTGCATTATCTGCATAACCCCAATGTCGAGTTCATGCATGTATCTAGAGAATTTTTAAGAAGTATGGCCTTCTTGAAAAGTCTTGATCTCAGTTTGGTTTGCCTCACTTGAATATTCATTAAAAGAGCTTCATATAGTCATGCTGATGACAAGCAAATTAAAATTGGAATTATTTGCAGTGAACTATAACCATTAGGCTGCCAACATTAATAGGGATTTGTCATTTCATCGTAGTGTCATATACAAAAGATAGAAACTCTGTTAGATCAAACATATCAGATCACAGTAGCCTTCAATATGTTACCATCGGGACCACTCATCTTGCACTTATGGAGAGCACTAGAATTGACCTTAACAATTACATTCAGATTTCCAATGCATAACCAAGAGCTATAATAACAAGCAAACAAATGCTATGACAAAAAGGCAAACAATAAGATACACAAATGTGGGTAAGAAATGCAAAAGTAACACAAATGTTAATCATGGTTATCGCTTATCAGGCTATGGAAGAAAACCTACATTGGCTAAAAAACTGCCGACTGCATGGGTTTATTTGAGTTGAGAGAAAAGACTTTGAAAAGTAGATATAGCATACTGCTTTTCCAATTGAGAGGAAATGCAATGCCATAGTGATTGCATAAAAGGGTCAATTCCTGATGTGAAGTTAAAGATGTCATTTCATAGGAGATATACCATAACAATGTTGGAAGTGATATCACAAATCCCAAAAAGGTAGAAGGCACCATCTCATTGATTTTGTTCTTTTCTTTTTTAATGTGACATCGTCTCATTGATGCTTATAAAATAGTTTTTATTATTGCCATATTTTATGGAGTTTCAATTAAATATCGTATTTTAAACAATAACACTATGTATGAATGCTGGCATTAGTTCATGTTAGGCATGAATCATGATGGAACTAAATTGTAGAGAGCTTAAAGCATGAACCGAATGTAATAATTTGGATCCCACATTTTGAGCCCTAGTTGCAGTTCACCATGTAGTGAGCAATCTGGGGTACATTTTGAGCAAGTTAATTGCTAAGCTCTGTATCTTTTTCAAGAAGCATTGCTAAACTTCATATTGTTCCCATGAATCATGATTGATTACAAATTGTATATTTGAAGTATCAATTCACCTGCAGAGTTTATCTAGAAAATAAAAGAAAAATTATTAATTTATTACTCAGGTCACAACTCGAAGAATGCCAAACCAAGTTGATAAGAACATAGTTCCTGGAACCTTGAAGGAAAGGTCACGGACCCGCTCCGGAACCTCGATTCCGCGGTTCCTGCTAGGAATCTTGGATGGAACGCGGATCCCTATACTGTGATCGGCATTCCCAGCAGGTTCGAACCATGGTTCTCAAGTGTATGACACAATGCATATGATTTTTTCTCTATTTGGCACTGATTCATATTCAATAATTCAGTTTTGTGCCCAATGGTACTGTGAACCCACGCATCATTCTTGATCCCTTAAAACATACCATCGCGCTTCCCTCCCCATGGAATCGCGCTTCCCTGTGACAAGGATCGTGCTCCTTTGATATAGGATCGTACGGACGACGATCCCAACCACAAGGAGCTTCCAACAATTCACGGTTCCACTGGCCCGAGAACGCACGCGCACCCGCTCCCGGGAACGCACCTGCACCCACACCCGCTCCCGCTCCCGACAACTATGGATAAGAAACTTGAGCAAATCAACATATATTTTCCCTATTTTCTTGGATTTTGGAAAAACTTAAACAGAAAATAAAAAATCTAGAATTCTAGACAATTGTGGATAAGTAATCCATTCATTGATAATGTAAATTCCATCTAATTTTATCAAGTACACAAAATGTTTCTAGCTGTCAAAAAATTATCGTTGTTGTTGTTGTTGTTATAGTTGTTACTATTATCGTTATTTTTATTTTTTTACTTTTTGTTTTTTATTATTATTATTGTGGCCATTTTTGTTGTTACTATTATCATTATTATTAATAGTTGTTACTAACATCATCATTATTATTATTATTGTTGTCATTTTTGTTGTTACTATGATCATTATTGTTGTTGTTGTTGTTGTTGTTGTTGTTATAGTTGTTACTAATATCATTATTATTATTGTTGTTGTTGTTATTGCTACTACTGCTCTGTTGTTGTTGTTGTTATTGTGATTGTTATTATTGTCGTCCTAGTTATTATTGTTTTTATCATCATCATCATCATCGTTGTCATGATCATCATCACTATTACTAGCACCACCATGACCACCACCACAACTATCACTACTATTGCAACTTCTCTTTAGGTGAAAATTACAATTAATTATGAATATCATCATGACTTGATAAATAATATTAATAGTAAAATTATCAGCATTAATTGTCAATTTGTGACAAGTATCTATACCAGAGTGTGATAAATTTGACCATATTTACTAAAAGAACATGATGTATAAAATTCACAAACTCGGCATGCTTAATTGTGAATCTAATCCAATTTCCAAATCTATCTATGATACAATAGGCAGCTCATCTAAGACCTGGGACTCACTTTCCAAGTCCCAGTCTACCTAGAAAAACAAAATGTGCACACAAGAAAAAATCGTCTGACATGGATAAAAAAATAACTTTAGAAACCAAGAAAGTTAATTTCAAGAAGCATACTTGACCAACATTTTGTTCTTAATTCAATGCTGAGATAAACCACCTAAAGGCCAGTTTTAATCACATATAAAGCGCTAATATGGCAGCTTTATATGCAGGTCCCAATCTATTGGGTGTTTGGTGCAGGATTGCTACAGAAAATCAACCCTGCTCAAGCATAAAATACGGGTAATTGCAGGTATGAATAAAACTTCTTTAGAAACATCAGGGATAAGGTGGCTTGGTGCAGTGACTTATAAGACAGAAAAGGTTAAATGATCTTAAAATAAGTGTGATACTATCAATGTCTTAAGAAGGGAGTAAAAAGCTAAACCTACTCATCATGAAGTGTATTGGTAAATTCAGGCTTTCAATCAACCCAAGAAGGCGTACTAGATTACAATAATCCAGAACTATAGACTCAATGGTGGAGGAGGCTGATTCAAAGGAAACCAAGAAAGATAAAACATGGAAAATACTAATGATTTTGATGTCAGATGATGGCATGAGATCATGGACTTACAAACTGAGTTGGGTCTGACTGAATTTGAGTCCATGAATATTGATGATTTAATTTTATTTTGCGACACTTACGAGAGATTTGTTTAGTTGTCCACTTCATAGACATGTCCAATTTTTAGGGACCATATACCATGCCTCCTAGGGAGGAAACCATCGCAATCCCTCAAAGGGAATCCACCATCCAAGGGAGGATAGCTAAGTGCCTTGTGAGCATGGTCTACATTTGCCTAATTATTCAACCTTTCAAGTTATCAAAATCTTTTCTGTCGTATGATTTTTTAATTCATAAGTCATTCTCTTTTAGAGTTCCACTTACGAACTTTATTCAATGTTCCAAAAAACGCCGGGCAGCGCCTAGGCGGGCCGGTGGGTCTAGTCTGCCCAGTGCCTAGGCAGATGCCCAAAACCTGGGCGGCCCAGGTAGAATAAAAAGCATAGGACTCAATTGTCCGACTGTTTTAGGGTCAGATTCTGTGTAAACATTAGAAAATGTATATCGAAACATTAGAAAATGTATATCGAGACATATAACACATTAAGAATACATAATATATAGTTCATCCATAGTCTATTAGTCCATAATTCCATACATTTCAAAATCAAAAATTAAATTTCAAAGCTCAAAGACATTAGACATTAGAGTATTAGACCATACTTCATAGTCCATACTATAATCCAAACTCCATCCACTCCATAGTCCATACACACAGTAAAAATAGGAAAATATAATCCAAGACAGTAAAACATTGATTCATCATCAAGAAAAGAAAATAAATAACACACTAATATGTCCATAGTCAACAACTCCACATACACTCCATACTCCATAAGTCCATATCGATAGTCCATACAAAGGCACAACTTTACATACATACAACTAAAAGGAGGAAAAGAAGAATGAAAGAAATATAGATTTGAAGACTCAAAGACTCTTTAGTCATCGCTCATCATCAGAAAAGCATGGTTAGCTGCATCATATGCATCGGAGTCAAGCCCATCCCTTCTCAACATAATGGTCGTCCTCCTCTGTCTCTTCTAAATCTACCTCTGCTTCCTCCTCCACCCTCGTCCTCTATGAAGAAGATCTAGTGGCCCTAAGAGGATCGGCTGCTGTCCCCGAGGCCTCCATGATCATATCCCTTGTCAATCCTAATATGTAGTATAATTTGAATTATGTACGAATTATGTACTGCAATACATATAACTGATATTGACATAACTGCAGAATCTTTATTTGGATTCAACTAGGCCGCACAGGTTCTAGGCGCCCGCCTAGGCGCTGGGCGGCCTGGAGCCCCCAGGCCGCCTAGGATCCGCCTGGTGCTTTTTGAAACACTGGTCATTTGTGTGTATATACCTATCAACGTAAAAAAAACTTGGTTAAAAAATTAACCAGCCGCATGCAATGGCCGATGTAGCTGCTTATCCCATTTCTCATCAATAATCTTCCAAACTAGCTCATAGCACCTCACATCATCATGTAAATTATGGGCTATCTCTCTCTTGCAGCTCTACATTGCCTCGTACATGTAGCCCATGAAGGGCTTGTCACTATCAACCATGCAAAGGACGTTAACAAGAAGAAAAAATACCTTAAGAGCCCTTCACCCCTCGCCAAAAAGACTTAGAAAGGATAATATCTCTCACCTTCTTCCCTTTCTGATCCTTGGCCCACTTTCATGCTCTTCAATCCTCATAAGTAAACATCTGCCACAACTGGACTCTCCTCGAATATATGTTATCTAAGCACAGGTATCAGGTAACAAATCTCGTGACCTCAAGCCTCATAATCTCCTCCTTCTTTATAAATTTGTGCATCATGCTGAAGGTGAGGGTGTGGCTATAAATGAAAGTCGTAATTAACCTAGCCTTCTTAACTGCACCAGCAATCTCGCTCAAACCTCCAATAGCCTCAAGCATGAGGTCTATACAGTGTATTGCTCATGGTGTCCAAAAGATACTAGGGTAAGTTATGGCAACAAATTAGCAGTAGCAGCATTATTTGTGACAACCTATATAACATGTTGCTCCCCAACCTCCTTGATGCAATTCTCCATCACTTTAAATATGTAATGAGCATCATGGCTATCATCAAAGGCATTAATAGACATAAAAAAAACAATCCCTAACGGACAATTCACCAGCAAATTCATCTGACTTTTTCTCTTCTTATCACTCCAAGTATCAGTCATAGTAGAAACCCCATACTGAGTGCATGCATCCTTTTGTAACTCCATAATCTCCCTCATGACATTTACCTCTTTTTTTAAAACAGGCTCTAAAGCTCATATAGGGTTGGAGGTTTCAACTCAGGCTGAAATTGGCCAATTGCCTCTACCAAGGTATAGAAGCTGCTTAGGCGAGCGGCTTTGAAAGGAATGCCGCCTCATAGAACCATCTAGCAATGCATTGCATAGTTCTCTCCCTCTCTCTCTTTCTCTCTCTCTCTTCCTTCTTGATTATGTTCTCAATAGTTGTTTGCTTCTTTGTTTTCTCACTTGCAACCTCAGGGCCAGGCCAAGGCAAAAAACAATCCATAGGCCCTAACCCAAGCCCTCTTAAGCCCCCTACCCCAAGCCCTCTTAGGCCCCTTACCCCAAGCCGTCTTAGGTCCCCCACCCCGAGAACCAACTAAAACTCCCTTTCCCTTTCCCCAAGTCTGGGATATAGCAAACTGCTCCACCTCTTCACACCCATCCTGATCATTATCATCGTCATCATAATTGACACAAACCCTAGACCTTAGCTCCATTATGGATAACTCTCTCTCCTTTTTTTCCTTTTTTACTATGCTCATATTATTTTTTATTTCCTCCCTAATCGCATCAGAAGCTTTTTTACATTGGGGCCACATCCCCCCTGATGCCAGCAAGATGTTTCTTAAACTGGTTTATACAGATTCATATGCTTCTCACAATAATTGCATCTTATGCAATTTTTATCTAAAGGATTTGGGTTATAGCCATATTTCCCACCTGAATCACCACTTCTATTGGATCCCGAAGAAGACATCTCAAAATAATCCAAGCAATTTGAAAAACAAAATTTTTCACTAACCTTGATTGCTTGATCTTCAAACTTCTACCTTTGAGAAGTTTGCCAATCTCAAAATCTTCTAAAATACCCTCTAATAGTCCTAAAAAATCTCCAAAACTAAATCTAAACTCAATAGGTGATGTTTGGATCGATTTCTCAGAACTTTGAGAACATTTGATCCTATGGAAATCACAAATTACCAATTTTTTTGGGGCTTCTCTTTCTCTAAAATGGTTCAAATGGGGTTTAGGTTGAATATGAACCTAAACCCCATGTTTTAGATACTTAAAATTAAAACAAAAATGCCCCTCAACGATGGGCATTTTTGCCCCTGGACTGCCGCCCAAGGCCGGGAGCCCGCCTAGGAAAGGGCCTAAGAGCCCGCCCAGGGACTAGCCGCCCTGCTTGCCCTCCTAGGCCTGGGTGCACCCAGGCCCCCCTAGCTCGCCTATGCACTAGGCAGGCCACTTTTTGGAACACTTGATTTTATTAAAGAGTTCATCTATGTATTATTCATATTCCACTTATAACTTTTCATTAAAAAAAAATGGCATAGGCAGTCCCTTGTCTTTGGTCCTTTGGAAGACATCCAGATCACAACCTTGAAGGTTTGCTAAAAACAAACGACACCGACCAACACTCTTTAGAAATGCTCTCATGAAATGCCCTGCAGAAGCAAATGTTGCTTCTTACTAGCAAAATTTGTTCTTTACATTTAAGAATCTAAAAATGTGAATTAAATGTTTCATAGTTTTAGTAAGTCGTAAGTTACATTTTTTCTTTAATAATGATTAAGATGCTAAGATAATTATGCATTCATTTTAATCAACTGACACATAAACACGTGTGCGCGCACACACACACACAACCATAAACAGGGGACACATGTGCGAGCACACCTGGCTTAACAACATAGCCCTGGTACATTTGTACACAACCACCTACATGCCTCTTAGCACTCTGATGTGAGAGTTTGGGGATTCTAGGCAGGGTAAACCCCAAAATAAATAGAGCAACCTGCATTTAATGGCCTTGATTTTACAGATGGGAATTGGATGCACACGTATACAGAATTTCAGATGCTTACATAGATTGCTGTGCACAAACACGGAAATACTTGGATAGCTACGGCTTCCTGGTTGGTACTAATAGGCACTCACCTGGGTGAGCAGCAAGTGCCTCTGGACTGGTGGAGGTCAATGCACCCCAGGCCAACACAGCACTCCTTGCAGTTACAATGAACTCCAGAAACTTGGTGCACGCATGTCGCATGATATTTTACTTTTGTATTCTTGCACAGTACAGCTCTTTCTTAGTAAGAAATTGTTTGAGAAATATTTCTATGGATAATTTCAGCTCCTTAAATATCATAATGTTCAGTATATTTGAGGCCAAGCAAAATCTAATCTTAGTATCAAACATTATAACATATAAATCGATTAGGGCACTCAGAATATAATTCTTCCCAGGGAAAATTAAATACAAATCCCATTCTATTTTTTATATTTAAAACTAGCCTCATATATTTCATATTTTACAAACACGTCCCATTTTACAAGAACATAAAGTGTATATTAATTTTATCTTTTTTTCTATATATAATATTAAGCTGAAATTTGGTAGGTTCATAATTTTCATCACCATATACCTATAAAAATATTCAAAAATTAAAACAAATAAAATTACCCAACTACCATCATATCAAGGGGTCGTTTGATAATTATATTTATTTTAAATTATTTTTTAATAGTTTTATGGGTGTATGATGGTGAGAAGTATAGAGAGACCAAATATAAGCTTAATCCAATATATAAAAAAGAGATAAAATTAAAATATAATTTAAGTTCTAAAAAATGAGACTTGATAGTAAAATATAAAATATATGGGACTATTTTTAAATATAAAAAATAAAACAGGATTTATATGTAAATTTCCCTTCTTCTTATTACATTTAAAAAAAAAAAATGTATATAACATGTTTCATAATATTTCAATGACGTAAAGGATAATCAGATTAGCAGCAAAGATAAATACCGGACAGAGATGCATATGATTCAAATTACGAAGAAGTGTTGCTTGAGTTTGGCGTGCCCATTGTACCACCAACTTCATCTTATCTTTTGTTGGTCCCCCAAATCTGCAACAGGCTACTACTTCTTCCACATCTATAGAAAAAAAATAAAGTAAAATAAAATAAAATTGTTCAAGAAAAGTTTATCATCAGTTGCTCCATATAGGTTAAAATATAAAAATCTAACCTAGAAAAAACCTAAATAAAAAACTTGTGGTCAAGTATCAGTTGTATTTTGCTCAAAGAGTAGTCAATATCATGCTGGTAGATATGCCACTAGTTTAATTTGAAGTTTTGAACTGCATGTTTTAAAGGTTCTGCTGCTATTGTTGTAGATAGTAATCAACTTCTTATTACAGAACTTTTAAAGACACATGCAAGCTCCATGGATGCTGCATATAACCAGTGCTATATGTAAGATGGTTCGACACAAGGTTCAAGGATCCAGTAAACCATCTAAAACAGATGGGGCTGCATTAAAAGATGAGATGGTAAACTTCGACATGTAACCGTACATTCAAAATTTAAAGACCAAAAAAAAAACCCACTCATTGTATCTTTGAAATTAAAATACATATGCTCAATACAAATAAAGTCCTCAAGCTTTCCAAGGCACATGGAATCATGTCAATACAACATCTTGCCGCAAAGTTATAGAAGCCAAAAACAGAAGAAAAAGATGCATCTCTAAGTTGTTTTTTAATTAGGACACATTTCGAAGTTGTATCCCACAAAAATTTCAAACTATGGTAATTTAATTTCTTTATCAGAAGTGGACATGATAAAGAAGCATGATCCACACAACACCTTATCACTTCCCTTGGCCAAAACCCATTTTTCATGGGTCACACCAGGTTAAGTTACAGTAGGAGCATTTTTTGTCAAAACCACATAAGCCGAATTGACTTTCACCCAAATGACTGATAAGTCAATTTTTTTGTAGCATCACTAGAGGGCATCATTTTACATGTGACATGAACAAAAATGCCCCATGTCCTTCTGAAAAAGTAAAGGGCCTATGACATGCATGAAAACAAACTTAGAGGCGAGACACATTAAGATAACTTGTCCAAGAACAAGAGACCTTGTTGTGTGCTTTTACCTTGGAATACCAAGACTGCAGGATGTAGGATAGATTTGTTTCCATATAAACCCACAAATTCGTTATGCCATGGGACATCCTTCAAGGGAATCTCATTTTCAATATGAGTGCTGGCTCGATTAATGAAACGCCTGCCATGACGCAGACCTATATACTTTAAAGGGATTCCCTTTTGGCAAAAAATTTCATGGGATGCAGCACATAAAGACAAAAAAACAGTTTCTTACTCAAAAGTTTCAAGAGATTTTAGAGTGTAACTGCCAGAAACTAGAAGAAACAGAAAAAGAAGCCAAGTGGGTGCACCCATTTCTGGTACCCAAGCCAAACTTATGCACACATTTTCGAGCAACCCAAGATTAGCAACAGAGCTGCATCTTGAGCTGAGTTGGAAAGCTGACTTTTAAGCTTTTGTTCATTTACTTCTTTAGAAGCCTTCTTTTTTGGATAATATAGAAGTCTTATGTGTGGGTGCAACCCTTCATTAGAAGTCTATTCTTCTCTTCTTTTTTCTTTCTTCTTTTTTTGTTTTTCTACTTCTTCTTCTTCTTTTTCTTTTTCTTGGAATTTGTCTCCTTACTTGTCTAGGAAAGTTCCTTGTTGAATTATCCCATTTAAAAAGCATTTGCAACACCAACATATGTTTGAAGAATTTAAGTAAGATACTTGAAACTGTTTGTTATGCCGCTCAGCATTAAAGCACACTCACTCCCTTCTCAGTGCACTAAATTTATTTTCTTTGAAGCTCCTCTTCAGGTACCTTCAGCATTTGTGATAATCGACTTGTACATCAGACGGCATGCCCTGGGTGTAAGCAAGTTGACCTACGCTCAGCAAAGCAGTCGATCTTTAAGTGTTTTGTAACACAGCTTAGGATTCTAAAGAATGGTCGAATTAAGGTCTATAAAGTGGCTTGTTGGATCAGCCTCTAAATGCGTAAGCAATTCTCTAGCTGAAGTAGACTGTGTACAAGTCATTTTGATAAAAATTCACATCTGCTCCTTCTTAATTCCATTCAAAGTTTGTATAGATTCCTCAACCTATGTGAACTCCTCTCCAGGTCCCCATGGTCGTAATCCTAGGTGATTATCCCAATATTTGCATAGGTTTCGCTCACAAATTTCTTAAAATTTTAGGTTAATTCCTCAATTTCAAAAACTAGTTGAGCTAGACCTCTAAGGCCCAACCTGTAGCGGCCATTTCATGTGTCACTTCAATGGGTAGAGACTGAAACAGTTTGCTCCTTGGATGTGCAGGGAGAAATTCCAAAGAGTTTACCCCCTGTACCCTCTCTAAGAACCTCATCAACGGCCTAAAATTAGAGACCACAACAAGACATAGCGGCATGGCTCCCAATAGATGCAAAGTGAAAACTAGTGTCTAAACAGAACTGCAAGTATGCACCCCCGGTGGAGTTTCAAACTCAATTCAGTAAAACACTATTAGTTATGCGGGACATCACTCGTCTTATTCAACAGGTTCATGCCATTAGGCTTCAATAAAATGGGGAATTATGCTAAGATATCATTTTCAAATTAAGAGGTTTTCTAACTTCGGTTACTAATAAAAGAAACAGGGTTCCACAGGGACATGATCCCCCTTTAATGTGAAAGTGACCCAGAAGCCAACCAAACTAGACAAAAGAAAAACACTAGATACAACTCCTCATAGTTAATAATTGCCTAGACAGTTCAAACCTAACATAACAAATTTGCAAATTTAGGCAAAAATACCATATTACAAGCGCCGTTCTCTAACCACTCAAATTTATAAAAATTCCACATAATTCTCAAACTAGTTTTTCACCATTCAATACAATGCCTTCATGTTTTTATTTTTATTTTATTTTGGGTAGTTCAGTGGTAGGAATCACACTTGAGATGCAGCATTACTAACCACTCAAGCCCAAGCCTGATACCTAATGCCTTCATGATTACTCATAAACATAATCAACCTTCTCAAATCAAACCACATCCTCATATGCCTCCTCTATGTCCAGGTGCTCTTTTAGATCCACAATTCTGGTACTTCTAGCTCATCACGATGATCATGCTGTACTCAGACCTGGGACTGTGAAAACTTAAGTAGCCTTTTCCATAGTCCCAATCAATAGTATTTAACCATACACTTGTTGTATATGATCATGCTGTAGTCAGACCTGGGATTGCGGAAACTTAAGTAGCCTTTTCAATGCCCAATCAATAGGATTTAACCATACACTTGTTGCATTTGTCAATGTCCAGAGTTGGAATCAAGTGATCAAGTCCATGCAGCTTCTTGGAAGAAAGTGTCCTCACAGCCATTGATTGTAGTGTCGAACAAGACACCATTTGATTTCCATTTATTCAAGAAAAAGATGTCACTTGATTTCTTCATCATCATCATAGCCTTTTTCCAATTAATTGGGGTCGGCTACATGAATCTTGGTTCGTCATTCTACTCTATTTAAGGCCATACCCTCAGTGAGGCTATAAGTCCCCATATCTTTTCATACTACTTTCAACCACATCCTTTTGAGCCTACCCCTTGCCCTTTTCAATCCTTCCACTTGAACTAACGCGCACCTCCTAACAGGTGTTGTATTAGGTCGGCGCCACACATGGCCAGCCCACCTAAGTCTAATCTCTCTAATCTTATCGCCTATCAGTGCCACACCTAAACTTTCCCGAATGAATTCATTTTGGATTCTATCCCTTCCTGTCTTGCCATTCATCCATCTCAACATCCTCATCTGGGTATATTGTTTTTTGTCCGCCCAACATTCCGCCCTATAAAGCAAAGCTGGTCCCACAGCTGTCCTATAGACTTGATTTCTTCTTAATCAATATAATTCATTTATTCTAATAATATGCAACATTATGAATAAATGAAAAGAATCATTTGGACTGGGAATGTATCTTACAAATTGCAATTGGTATAATGATAGCAACTGATATTGAATGTGCATGGCACGAATTATTCTTCAAAAAGTATGTGCATGATATGAACTTAGTTTTCAGATATACGGCCCATACAGATCTACACATGACCTCAAATTAAATAGTACCATATGGATTAACAATAGGACAATTCAAATCTCAAGGACTAGGTAGCAACACAGAAGAAAGAACAAAGGGCTGTCTGTTGACACAAATTTCACAAATAAAGAAGAGCACACAAAGGATTAGCTTTCAAAAGTTACACAGATCTTGATTGCAATAGACGCATCCTTTTTAACAATTATGACAGATGAACCAAAAGAATATGCATTTCTTACCAATTTAAGGTGTGGAGATGCAATCTGCTAGATATATCATACCAGGACTGGTATATCAGTGACATCACTCAACCACAGAGACCATTTTAGTAAATTGAAAAAGAAGTTAGTTATGCCATTTCTGGAAAGAACAACCTATGTATATTATAACAAGCGATAATATACCTTTAGCTGCAACTAGTTCTTGTGAATGGACTAAATGCATCAGTGATGAATATTGAATTGTCAAAGCCTCCACAATACCGCAAAACTCTGAAATCCTGAAGTCTGTATAAATCCAAAGGTAACAACTTATCAAGATGTACCACAGATGTAAGCAAGACAGTTTATGCGAAACAAATGAGCAACACACTCAACTTCCAATAATATGAGTACAAAGATATGAGACAGAAGCCTATATAGATAGGGCCTTGCAAGTACAAGAGACAACCAAATTTACTTCTTACATGATGATTAAATATTAATCCATTTAAAACATCAAATATTAAGGATCAAGGGAAAGATCTCACTTTGTAATAAAACAATATCACCAGCAGATACAGTGGAGCCCATTTGTTTCTGCCACAGCGACACAGTAAAGTATGGGCATGTATTGTCACCAACCTGGACAACAATCCTCATCAATCTTCGACCATACAAAGCTTTAATCATCTGCAATTTCATCATTTTCAATTTCAGAACCAAGGCATTGCTGCTTACAAAAGTCAAATAAAAAAAGAGTAAAAAAACAGGGCTTCTCACTTAAAATACACTGTCAGATGTCTTACAAAATTATTGTAAAGGATATGCGGCTTTTTTTTTTTTTCCTTTCCATGGGTAAATTCATAGTCATGATTTTTACCAAAATTTCAATAAATAAGCTTTGCAGATTTACAAGATAAAAAAATATCTTACTAGAAGTAATACTCGCAGAATACAGGCAGGCATGCACCACAGTCAGTCATCTGGTATTCACTTAGGTTAATGGTTCTGTGAGTCCATTGCTTCTACAATGTGCTAAAATATTTATTAAAAATCAAAAAAGTATAACTAGCGAATAAAACCAAAAAAAAAGTGAAAAAGATGTAAATCAAGTATAAAAGTGATTGCTTAATATATTAAACTCTAGAAATATTAAATGGATAGATTAATTAATACCCAGGAATATCCCAAGAAAGCGGAGAATGGCTGAAGCGGAGAATGGCTGGAGTGGTCTTTCGCCATGTATAGCTTAGCCAAGGGAGAGCCCCGGTGCTGTATGGACTCCCTGTTGTTCCAGCACATTTCCAACATGCTGGAGGATAAGTTACAGCTTATGTTCAAGGAATTTTATGACAGAGGAAAATCAATACAGCAACGAATTCTTCTTTCCTTGCATCGTTGTTGAAACAGTAGAAAACATTAATGACGTCTGAGCGATCAGCCTTCTCAGAAGTCTACACAAACTGATGGCCCATATTTTGTCTTCAATGTTAACGTGCTGCCTCAGGTGATTTCATTATCCCAATTGGCCTTTGTAAAAGACAAACAAATTTTGGACCATTAAGAACTCACGAGGGCATGCGCTCTAAGTATCAGGCACCCCAAAAGAGATCTGCAAGGTAAATTTACCAAAGGCCCATGACAGGTTGGACCTAGATTTTCTGAACAGCTCACTGAGGCTGATGGGGTTCAGCAGAAAACGATGCAATAGAACTACGGAGCATCTGTCCTTCTGCCCATTACTCTATACTCATCAATCGGTTCCTGGAGGACCAAGTTCTGGGGGCATGAAACCAGTGGATGCCCTTCTTGTTCCCTATATTAGCCAAACCTGCTAGATGGGGTATACACATCATCATCGTCAGAGCCTTTTCCCTACTAATTTGGGTTGGCTAAGATGGGGTATACTGGTACTCATAATTGGTCAAGTGTACATTGACAACTGCTGTAACTTACTATTGCAATTGTAGTTCATATTCATAGTAAAGCACAAATATTTCATTTCCGTATTTACTTGTATGCCCTTATCTAACCCGTAATTAATTAGAGTATGAAACAATATAAATATATATATTTGAGTGCAGCCTTTCAAAAATTGATTATATCACTCTTCTTTGGCTTCCCCTCCATCTCTCTCTACTGTGCCACAACTTGCTATTGTCTCTCAAGTATTCAAGGTGATATATTAACATGGTATCTGCGCAAGGTTCAATTACTAATGTGACCCATTGATCAAAGGTATCAAGATCTCTCCCTTTCCCTACAATGGATGGGTCACATTGATGGATCGTGCAAGGCACCACCATAGTTCATCACCAAAGTGGAAGTGAGTACAGAAGAAAAGAGAAAAGAACTTGTAACTCTTAACCCTAGATTTGATCATTGGCTTGTCAAGGATCAAGGATTAATTGGGTGGACTAACTCCACATTGTCAAAAGCACAAGTGGTTGATATAGACACTGCTGAAGAATTGTGGAAGGAATTACAAAACTCATACGCCAACAGTCCCGAGCTAGTCTAGTGCACTTGAGACAGGAACTTTTGAATTGCAAAAAGGAAGATTGGTCCATATCTGAGTACTTGGTCCAAATCAAAGGAATATGTGATCAGCTTGCTATAATTCAACATCCCATTAGGGAGACTAACAAGGTGTGCATTGCCTTAAAGGGTCTCGGAGGTCAATATGAGATTTTTGTTCCTAGTGTTACCTCTAGACCACCATATCCACTTTTGCTGAATCATGTCCTCCACTTGTTCAATGTGAAGCTATGTTCCCCAATAAAAAAGATGGGACAAAATCAAGTTTGAATTTCTTATGATTTTTGTTTACCAACAACAATTATTCATCTTGTGAGAATGGTTTTTGCAGAGGTGGCTGAGGAAGAAATGACAGAGTATGAGATGGTCGTCGTAGAGGTGGAATCTATAGAAATACTGCTGGGTGTGACATCCTACCTCCACCTAACAATAACCAGAATGGGAGTTCCAGTCAAGTGGTATAATGTCTTAGATATATGGAAGGCGTAACCACCAGACTGCTAACTGTTATACTAAATATGATAGATACCTGGGACACGATTAAGGAATCAACCAGCATACTATAAATATTTATGTTGATAAGTCCTGTGAGTAATGAAGATGGAGATCATAATGTTGGAGCACAGTAGCTACACTGAAAATATATATCTGCTTCCAAACGTGAACATTGTGTGGTATACTTCATCTGCATTAACTCTCTTGTCATAGATTCACAGCACAAACACAATATCTGCTTCCAAGAGTGAACATTATGTGGTATATTGTTTCTTACTTTCTTGGCCTTTGAGGGAACAAGAGTTTTGCCCCACCAAAAAAGATAGCAGCAGCAAACTGTGAATCATGTAGACTTCTGCCACATTAACACCTACTTAGACAACAATCAACTTGACCAACGCAGAGAAAGATGTTTCATCTTGAATCAGAGAGAACACCCTTTCTGAAGGTCATGAAGTTCTAGAGACAACAGCCAAAGAGTGGCATCCTTGGGTCCCATTTCAACTATAGCTAAATGATCCAAGAAAATTGTTGATGACTAGTTTGGTGAAGGTGAGATAAATAAGAACCCCTCCTATCTAGTACTAAAGGTGTACTTTAGGGGATCCAACTCCTATTAAACTAGTTCAAAATCTTTAGAATAAGCTAAACTGTACAGAATTTTCTTGTTATAACAAGGCACATTTTGGGGATATCCTTCTCTCAACCACTCCCAAGCTTAACTTGCCCCACCTCATCGGAATGAGGTTTCCATGTTTAAAATATTAATAAGTTTTTTTCTTTTTCCTTTTTAGTAGTTCAGCAGCAGGATTCGAACTCGAGATGTAGTGTTGAAATCATCAACACCTTAAACATTCAAGCCGAAACCCAAATTCATAATGAAAGCACACATCTAAGCTTATTAATTGATAAATTACAATTATAAAGGGACATGCTAAGCTCTGAGAGGATAAGTAACTGTATAGACTTTAGAGCTAATGAAAGCAACAACATATACAAAAAAAAAAGAATCAAACTATGGGACTTGCTTAAGACTCTGTACATACAAAGAGATGGTATATTAATTTATGCTTCTAGTATCAAACAACGGAACATCAATATATACATAATTTTTGTCCCTTTCTTTTGTATATAAACTAATTTAAATTAGGGAGGAACTGAATACAGTATATGGAATGCAAGTTTAGTAATAATAGGAGTCGAGCTGTAGAGACGAGGAAGTAGTTAAGATTGACAGCCAGGAAGTACCAAAAAGACCGCACTCTCGATATCTTGGGTTGATAATCCAAGAAATTTGAGAGATTGGGTAAGATGTTGCACATAGAATTAGAGTTGGGTGGGCGACGTGGAGATGTGTAACCAAAATTTTATGTGATCGCCACAATACCAATGAAGCTGAAGGGTAAGTTCTATAGGACAGATGTGAGACTAGCTTTGTTCTATGAAGTAAAATGTTGGGCAGTCAAAAAATAATATACCCATAGAATGAGTATAGCAAAGATGAGGATGTTGAGATGGATGAGAGGTAAGACAAGAAGGAATAGAATTCGAAATGAATACATTCGAAAAATTTTAGGTGTGGAATAAGTAGTAAGAAGGGAAAGAGTAGACTTAGTTGGGCTGGCCATGTGTGACATAGACCCTGTATAGCACCTGTTAGAAGGTACAAGTTAATTCAAGTGAAAAGCTCAAAAAGGGCAAAGGGTAGGCCCAAAAGGATTAAATGGAAGTAGTGAGGGTAATGACCCTTAATAGCGTAGAATAGCATATCAGATACGTGTAGCCAATCCCAATTAGTTGGAAAAAGGCTTTGACGACGAAAACAATGAGGAACCGGACCTTCGATCTTACTCATACAAATTAGGTGTCACACCACGTATGGATTTCATAGAAGTTATCGAATTAGGTAAAAACAAAATAACCAACACGAAGAAATACCTTCAAATATTATCACGACTTTTTGGAATATATACTGAAAACTAGCTCAATCAAATCAAGAGAATGCTATAAAAAGATAAGTTTCTCCAATGTCCCAACCCCTAAAGCAATTGCTTTTCTTTATATTCTAACACAAATCTGGTCTATCAATATCAAGTCGAAACGTTTCCTCAAAGTATCAATAAGAAGTATCACCTCAATTAAACCCCAAAAAGGGAAAGAACAAAAATGCATTATAAAAAAAGAAATACGACTACAGAAGTAAAGAGCACGAAACATGGAACCTGAGGAGGTCGACACATATGAACGAATACCAGGAGCTGAACATAGCTACCAATGTGAGAACCCGCATCCTTGAGATCAATCAGAGGTCCATACCAGTCTACAGCCGCCATTACTGTGCTTAGCCAGTGAGTAGTTCTTTGTTGCTATTAAATACAGTACGAACTAACCCTA